TGCCACTTCCTCCCCTTGTTCATTCAGTGCCACTTCCCATTGTTTCATTCAGTGCCACTTCCTCTCCCCCCTTGTTCATTCAGTGTTCACTTCCCATTGCTCATTGTCAGTGCCACTTCCCCTTTATACAATCAGTGCCACTTATCCCTTGTTCATTCAGTGCCACTTACCGCATGCTTCTTCAGTGCCACTTCCCTTGTTCATTCAGTGCCACTTACCCCTTGTTCATTCAGGGCCGATTCCCCTGTTTCATTCAGTGCCACTTCTCCCCTTGGCCAGTCAGTGCCATTCTTCCCCTTGTTCATACAGTCCCCCCTCACATCCTCTGCTCATTCAGTGCCACATCTCCATGTACATTCAGTGTCCACTTTCCCTTGTTCATTCAGATGCCACATCCCCTTTCTTCATTCAGTGCTACTTTTCCCTTGTTCATTTCAGTGCCACTTTCCCGCTTGCTATTCGTGTCCACTTCCCTTGTTCACTTCAGTGCCACGTCCCCTTTGTTCATGTCAGTGGCCCCTTTCCCCTATGTTCATCAGTGTCCATTTCCCCTTGTTTCATTATCAGTGCCACATTTCCTTGTTCAATCTCAGTGCCACTTCCCTTGTTCATTCCGTGCACAATTCATCCCCTTGTACATTCAGTGCCGACTTCCCCTTCTTCGTTCAGTGCCATTTCCTTCCCTCCCCTTGTTCCATTCAGTGCCACTTCCCCTTGTTTCATTCAGTGCCACTTCCCCCTTTGTTTCATTCTGTGCCACTTGCCCCCTTGTTCATGTCAGTGCAACTTTTCCCTTGTTCATTCATTGCCACTCCCCTTGTTATTCATTCAGTGCCACCCTATCCCCTTGTTCATTCAGTGGCCACTTCCCCTTTGTTTCAATCACAGTGACACTTCCCCCTTGTTCATCAGTGCCACTTCCTCTTGTTTCATGTCATGCCCACTTACCCTTTTTTTTCATTCAGTGCCACTTCCCCTTGTTCATTCAGTGCCACTTCCCCTTGTTCATTCAGTGCCACTTCCCCTTGTTCATTCAGTGCCACTTCCCCTTGTTCATTCAGTGCCACTTTCCCCTTGTTCATTCAGTGCCACTTCTCTTTGCTCATTCAGTGCCACATTCCCTTGTTTACTCAGTGTCCTTCTTTTTTCCATCAGTGCCACTTCCCCTTTTCATTCAGTGCCACTTCCCTTTTTTCATTCAGTGCCACTTCCCCTTGTTCATTAAATGGCACTTCCCCTTGTTCATTCAGTGGCACTTCCCCTTGTTCATTCAATGCCTCTTCGCCTTGTTCATTCAGTGCCACTTCGCTTTGCTCATTCAGTGAGACATTCCCTTGCTCACTCATGTCACTTTCCCCTTGTTCATATCAGTGCCACTTTCCCCTTGTTCATTCAGTGCACACTTCTCCTTGTTCACTTCAGTGCCTACTTTCCCTTTTCATTCTGTGCCATTTTCCCCTTATTTCATTCAGGCCACTTCCCCCTTGTTCATTCAGTGCACTTTTCCCCTTGGTCATATCAGTGCCATTCCCTTGTTCAGTCAGTGCCACTTCCCCTTTTCAATCAGGTGCCACTTCCCTTGCTCATTCAGTACTCACTTCCCCTTTGTTCAATGTGCCACTTTCTCCCTTATTCATTCAGTGCCATATTCCCCCTTGTTCATTTCACCAGCCACTTTCCCCCTTGTCATTCAGTGCCACTATCCCCTTGTTCATTCAGTGCCACTTTTCCTCTTGTTTCATTCATGCCAACTTTCCCCTTGTTCATTCAGTGCCACTTTCCCCTTATTCATTCAGTGCCATTTCCCCTTGTTCATTCAGTACCACTTTCCCCTTGGTCATTCAGTGCCACTTCCCCTTGGTCATTCAGTGCCACTTCCCCTTGTCATATCAGTGGCCACTTTCCCCTTGTTCATTCATGTACCACTTTCCCTCTTGTTCATTCAGTGCCTCTTCCCCTTGTTGATCAGTGCCACTTCCCATGTTCATTCAATGGCCACTTCCCCTTGTATCATACAACCATCAGTATGCCTACTTTTCGCTTTCTCCATTCAGTGCCTACATTCCCTTGCTCACTCAAGTGTCCACTTCCCCCTTGTTCATTCAGTGCACTCACTCTTGTTCATTCAGTGCCACTTCCCCTTGTTCATTTCATGCCACTTCCCCTTGTTCATTCAGTGCCACTTTTCCCCCTTTTCATTCAGTGCACTTCCCTTTATTCATTCAGTGCACATGCCACTTTCCCCTTGTTCATTTCAGTGCCACTACTCCCCCTTGTTCATTCAGTGCCCACTTCCCCCATTTTCATTCAGTGCCCACTGTCCCCCTTATTCATTCGTGCCACTTCCCCATGTTTCATTCAGTGCCCACTTTCCCCTTGTTCATGGTCAGTGCCACTTTCCCCTATTCATTCAGTGACATTTCGCCCTTTTCATTAGAGCCACTTCCCCTTTTTCATTCATGTGCCACTTCCCCTTGTTCATAAGTGCCACTTCCCCTCCCCTTGATCATTAAGTGCCCTCACTTCCCCTTTGTTCCATTAAGTGCCACTCCCCTTGTTCAGTCAGTGCCATTATCCCCTTGTTCGTTTTCAGTGCCACTTTCCCCTCTGAGTATATTCAGCCAGTCTTTTTCCAAATCGGATTTAAAAAACTTTAATAAAACCACTGTAACTGGACACATTGTTCCCGTAGCTAAGGTTTTATAATATCATAATATCTAGACTTAAGTGAGAAAAGTTGGTCACCCCTTTACCTTACAAGTGGCACCCTCATTTACTTCTTACTCAGTGGACTCTCACTTTTGTAACTTATTGGCACTCTACCTCTTACTCAGTGGCACTCTCACTTCTTACCTCAGTGGCACTATTACTTATTACTCATTGGCACTCGATCTTTCTTAAACATGCAGTCACACTATTCTTCCTCAGTGTCACCCTCCACTTCTTACTCAGTGGCATTCTACTTCTTACTACTCAGTGCCAACCCTCACTCACCCATCATTCATTGCTACCCACACACACCCTTCATTCAGTGGCACCCCGCTCACTCACCCATCATATCATTGGCACCCTCAACACACCTTTCCATACCGTGGCACCCTCACTCACCCCTTCATTACAGTGGCAACCCTCACTCACCCTTCATTCAGTGGCACCCTCACTCACCCTTCATTCAGTGGCACCCTCACTCACCCTTCATTCAGTGGCACCCTCACTCACCCTTCATTCAGTGGCACTCTTACTCACCGTGTTGGCCTCTCACCCTTGCAGCGTGTAGAACGTCATCTGAGAACAGGACGCAGTACGTGCTACATATCAGGCAGCTGCCACCACGACTCGGGAAACTACCGCTGTAAGTGCCCAGGATGCCACACAACTGCCACCGTCGTATCCAGTCCTTGACGGTGAGGTCCTGCCCCTCCTACACCGTCTAAACACGTCTTATCAGGCTGGTAATACAGTTCCTCACAGCTCATGTACACACCTTTACAGTGGTACCGTACAGACGTCCTGACAGGTTTACAACCAAATTACTAGATTGGATTCAAATGAAACAAGAATAATACAATCAAGACATCCTTTATTGATACCAACGTTTTGCTCCTGGACTTTGGTATATATAGTAGGAGAAGTCGGTGAAAATCAGGCGAAAGGAGATTTAATACCACCTGAGTGTAGTGTCAGTGCCAGCAAGGAACTAGAATGTACAAGTATCATATGTATGGGATATTTGAAATGTTTTAGATAGGTAAAGTTTTCTTTGGATTTTTAACCCAGCAGGTTATCCACCTGGACACCCAGGGGTAGGAGGGAGGTATTCCTCCCTGGATAACCGGGTAGGGAGGGAGGGTTATCCAAACCAGGATAACCCAAGAAAGTCAGAGAGCTTATCGAGGACTGTCTGCTTATATCCACAGTGGATCTTACAGTCTTGTCCCCCAGGAAGCCCACCGCACAACAGTCGACTAACACCCTCTGCCTACATCAGAACACCAAGACAGGAAGTACTGATTTACAACAACTCCACCTGAGGGACTCATTAAACCTCAAACCCTCCTTCGATCCTTCGCAGTTCTTCTTTGTATAGGAACTAAATGAAGGCCACTTGAGTGGCGATACGTTTCCTCAAAATAGATACCCCAAGAGGTTTGGCACGATGTGTCTAATTTAACCTGTCTCTGACGGAAGGAGTGGTCCATGGTAGACAAGAGAGTTGCTTCCTGAGAGGGGTCCTGTCTGAGATTGGTGACCATTCTCCTCCAGTGAAGTTAGGAACCTAGGTTCCTCAGTGGTGACGTCGTTGGAAGAGTTGAAGTATATCTTAGACAACCTATCAACAATCAGCCTAAAAAGGTAAGGTAATCATAAATGTATGCATAACTCAAACGCTCTGGGACCTCCTTCCAACAAGTATCACAAACATCAACGTTGAGAATAAGCATACAACATCATTTTAATGTCACTTCACTCTGCGTTGATGTTCCTACAGATGCCGTCAATGATGTACACAATCGTAGGCAATACTGATGACAGCAACTTGCCTTCAACATAACCAAGACTTCATAACACTAATCCAGCTTGCATTAATCTCAACTTACATATATATGGAACCCCAGTTTTTTGAGGAAGTGTTTCTGGCCTCTCTCTCTAAGAAATCCTCTAAGTGGCTGCCTTGGCAAACAATTTTCTAGAACATTGAATCTGAAGGTTTCACAGCATCATTCCTAATACATCCAAATGGTTACATATCCCAAAAGACTCAATGTCAACAACTCTCAAAATCACTCTTCAACTAAGAAAACAAGAACATGATATTTACATAGCCTGCGGCGTTCATGCAGGCACACCAACACCCTGTCCCTATCATAGTCCTGCACTCTAAGGCACTCGCAACCGGGAAAAAGTGCCTTCACAACTTAACACTTCCCTCTCTACTGTTACAAGATCAGTCACAGAGCCATGAATTTCTGTGCCAACGCAGGTTCTTACTGCCACCTGCCATGGTATCATGTGACCTGACACCTTCACCTGATCTCACCAGTGACTTGCTCTTTTCACTCTATGTTTACATGAGGAGAGCAGGTAACATTTACCGTGACCCGGTACTCAGACCACGAATCCAGAGGGCATGCACGTATGTTCTTTACTCCATCAAGTACCTGAGTGTTACCTTACAGGGTCAAGTATCAGTACCCTGTAAGAGCAGTTTCGGAAGTGTACCAGAACCTATACTGTATACTTTGTCTCGCTACCATGTACTAGAGTCCCGCTAATTCCTAGTCTTTTTTCTATTCTCCCTCCCCTTGTTCAGCCAGTTTTCCCCTCAAGTAAACACTGCCCTCCGTCGTCCTCCTGCTTTTCTCCTCCAACCTCGTCTACCTGCTTCTCCTCCTCGTGTCCACCACCTCCTCCCCTCTCGGTCCTCTTCGACCCTCCACCCACCTCCGCCTCATCTCTTGTGTACTAATTACCTCATCAATCACTGCCGTTTAGGCCGGTGTCCCCCTCTCCCACGACTAATTACTCTAAATAGACTCAGCTTGAGTCACCCTCTCATGCACCACCCTAGCACCCTTCCCAGCACCCCTCCTAGCAACCCTTCCCCAGCACCCCTTTTACCACCCCTCTCATAGCACGCCTTGCACCCCTCTTAGTACACTGACAGCACCCCTTCTATCACTCCCAGCACCAATCCTAGCACCACTACACTCCTCCCCTCTAGCATATCAATACCCCCCTAGCACCTAACGCCCACAGACTGAAGTCACCGCCTCTCACAATATTCCAGTCACCTACATTCCCGTGTGGATGCACCAGACACTGCCACTCAATTAACTGAATAACTGCAGCTGAAACTGGCCAAATGCACCTCCCATTAATCCCTCTAGTCATTCACATCTGAGAAAAAATTCCCTAACAGAGCAAATGGGGTCAAAGCTCCCAGAAACGGTTTGCAGCGAGATTAATACTCGCTAACGCTAATTACTACTCTGTTGGACAGAGTTGCTAGCCAAGCTTAATCACCCCTGCTAGGAGTCTTCTAATCACCCTGGCTTCTAGTAAAGACCTTGCACATGCTGCCAACAGCCAAACTAAATTCTAGCTAATCAACCGCTGGCTTCCAAGCATGAGTGGTTTCAAAGGTAATTAATTCCTCTCTCTCGCTCCCTCTCTCGTTATATATATATATATATATATGCAATAAGATCACAGTAAACAGGTGATTTCAAAATATGCAAAACAACCACTCTGGCAAGAATAGAGAAATTCCAAGCGCTTACCGATGATACCACATTATCAAGGAACATGAAAGTGAAGCATCCAAGGAAGCTATATAAGGGTCGGCCAGCACCTCACTATCAAGATTCCCACACGGTTAAACACGTGACGCGTGCGGCGAGCCAACTTGGGACAGGTTCCTTTGCAAAATCACCCCCAAGCTATTTATTTGTCCAGTGTATTATTAAATTCTACCCAACTTTCTATATTATAAATGGATCAAATTTGTATAAACCAAAGGAAATTATTCATATTATTAGTCTAAACTAGCTTTTTATGAAACAAGATTCAATAATATTCCTGACGACGCATGGACATGCTTGATAACAACATCTCAACTTTTTGAAAATCAAATGATGGTTAAAATCTCTTACATGAATAAATAAGCATTTGAACTTACCAGTTCTAATGTAATTATAGTTTTTTAAATCTTAGTTTCGAGATTTTTACCCAGTTTGACCGTAATAAACTTTATCGCAATTTTACAAGGAATCTTATATACACATCCATCAGTATTAATGGGGAATTCTAATCAAAAGTTTTTTTACTGTAACAAATTTTTGAATACAACTTTAATATTAAAAGTCTTAAGAAGAGAAGGCATATCAACCAAGTGTTCATGTAAGGGAGAACCAACATATTTTTAGTTGAATAAGGCTGGATGCCCTTTATTGGATATAAAAAGTGTTCTCCCTATACTATACTATACATCCACTCTCCTCTCTCTAGCAACATTTAAAAAAGTTTATCAATTACATTACATGGGTATTTTAAATCAAACCTAGTTTCATAAATTTTTGGATATTTCCTCATCAATGAACTCAGGACTACAAAATTCGAAAAGCTCTCAAAACATTGATGAGAAAACAGACAGTTTGACTCTATCTTGAAGCGAGAATAATATGACATAGTAACGTTATATGTAGGTTTTCTGTAAATTTTAAATTTGAATTCATTATTACCCAATATTAAAACATCAGAAAAGTCAATGAGTTATTTTCCTCAAACTCAACAGTAAAGTTTATTAGATTGGTAAGCTATCTAATTATTTTCGCAAGAAAATGTTGTATATCTACATTTTTTGGCATAAGACACAAAATAACATCAACATATCTGAACCATTTAGCTCTATAGGGAGGATTGTGTTAAGCAACCTTGTTTCAAAAAAATTCCATGTATAGGATACTAAGAAACAGGTGAAAGAAGAGGATTACCCATGTGCCAACCAAAGCTTCTGAGTGGTAAAACTTATCATTAAATACAAATTTTGCATCAACAATGCAAAGTTAATAATTTAATGATAGTAGGAACTGGCTAATGGTAAATCATAGTTAACGAGTTCTAGCCAGATAAGAACTTAAATAAAACATCATCAACCGGAATTTCGTAAACAAGAGAAGTTAACATCAAAACTAACCATGTTAAAATCATTTATAGTCAGTCAAGGAAGTTTAATTATCAACCAAGTCCTATGTTGTTTTAACATTAAAGTTAGAAAATTTTGCCAACAATAGGGCTCAAAATATCGACAAGCCATTTGGATAAATTTATAAGAAGACTGACCCTATGAGCTAATAATTGGTCTGACCTGGATTTTACCCTGTTTGTGTGTTTTTTGAGTCCATACATGTAAGGTAAAGATGGATTAGTGGAAGTAAATTGTTTGACTAATTCATCTTTGCCTTTCAGTAGAAGTATTTATTGTTTTAATTTGAAATTGCTGTTAACGGTTTTCTAGGAGGGGATTTATCCTAATTTTAGAATAGGATATCAGTATCATCTAAGAGAATATTCATTTTTCTTGGTAATCATTTTCTTTCATAATTACAATTGCCTTTATTTTTGTCTGCTTTAGTAAGGCCAAATTTTTATTGTAATTAATTGTATCATAAGACTTAAAGAATCTTTGAAGGGCAATTTGGGAATGTTTGGTTATTATCACATAGAGCTTTAAACATTCCTTACTAATATTAATTTCATCAGAGGATAAACAGGAAAATTTTCAAAGTTACAAAAGGCTTTTTGCATTTCAACATAATTAAGTTTTTTTGAAGTTGCAAAACTTAGAGCCAAAAACCTAGAAGCAGCAGTTGATGTTTGTCTAAAATTTCATCTGATAAATTAATTACAAATTTATTAGGCATGCATTGTTCCAATCACATTTTTTCAATTAAAATGTCTAATTTTTCTTGAGTTTGCTCTTGAGTTCATTACAAAATTCTTCTGATTTTATTATAGCAATGATCCAACATACAGTGTATTCCATTTCCTGATGGAATGCCTGAATAAAAGAGTATTTTTTTTTTCTCAATATTATTGATGCTTCTTTCTCTCCTGTATTTTAGTTATTCAATATGTTTTCTGAAGATAATCTCATAAAATCATCAAAAGGACGAATCTCATGTCAAGAGTCTATTGGGTAACAGAGACTTGGGCAGAACTTGTTTCATTTAAAAAACAATTTTTTTAAAAAAATTAAGTCGAATTTTTAACTTGAGGACTTGATCAGTGCAGAAGAAAACGTGAAACAAAAGATCTATGATTAGGAACGCTTAGTCGAGAACATTCTGAAAGAGTCCGTGTGGTATCCATTAATGCCAAAATTTAAGATCACATAAACAGGTGATTCAAAAATGCAAAACAACCACCTGAAAGAATAGAGTAATATCCAATCGCTTTCGTGACTACACGACATTATCAGGAACTATGAAATGAAGCATCCAAGGCAGCTATAAAAGGGACGGGCCAGCACCTCACTATCAGATTCCCACAAACGGTTTTAAACACGTGACGCGCGGCGAGCCAACCTTGGACAGGACCTTTGCAAAACTCACCCCCAAGCTATTTATTCGTCCATGGTAATATTTAAATTCTACCCCAAATTCTTATTAATTATAAGGATCTAATTTTATAAACCAAAGGAAATATTCATATTAATGTCAAAAACTGCTTTTATGAAACAAGATTCATTATATTCCTGTCCGACATGGACTTGGCTTTGATACTACTTTCCTCAACTTATTGAAAATCCATTGGATGGTTTAAAATCTCTTACATGAATAAATAGAGCATTGGAATCTAGTCCAGTCTAATGCTATATTTATGTTGTATTAATCTTAGTTCGAGATTTTTTACCAGTTTGACCGTATAAACATTAATCGCAAATTTTACAAGGAACTTAAGACACATCCATCAGTATTTTTGGGGGGAATTTCTTAATCAAAAGTTTTTTTAACTGTATCAAGATTTTTGAATACAACTTTAAATATTAAAAGTTCTTAAGAGAGACGCATATCAACCAAGTTTTCAATGGAAAGGGAGAACACAACATATTTTATAGTTGAATAAGGCTGGTTCCCTTTTTTTGGATTATAAAAAGTGTTCCAGCAACTTTAAAAAGATTTATTCAATTACATTTCTTGGGTATGTTTAAATCATTACCTATTTCGATAAATTTTGGATATTTCCTCATCTATGAACTCAGGACTTACAAAATACGTAAAGCGACACAAAAAACATTATAGAAAACATACAGTTTTGACTCAGCACCTTGATGCGAGAATAATATGACATAGGAACAGTTATATGTAGGTTTTTCTCTGTAAATTTAAATTTGAATTCATTATTACCCTTAATAATTAAAAACATCTAAAAGGCAATAGTTATTTTCTTCAAATCAACAGTAAAGTTTATAGAATGGGGCTAAGCTATTTATTTTTCCAAGAAAAGTTTGTATATCTACATTTTTGGCATAAGACAACAAAATATCATCAACATATCTGAACCATTTTGCTCTAATTAGGTGAGGATGTGTAAGCAACCTTGTTTCACAAAAAATTCCATGTAAGGTTACTAGAACAGGTGAAAGAGGATTTCCCATTGCCATACCAAACTTCAGAGTTGTAAAACTTATCATT